TATTTTACAACCAGGCTCAATGACAGAAAAATCTCTGGATCATGGCTTCAAGCATGGTCGTGAGCTAATATATTGGTCGTCCCTAATTACCCGGCTTAGCGATGATTTGGGTACTTCCGAGGTATGTACTACTTATAAGACTAACAGAATCTGGAGCACGTATTATTTACAATCATTACACTATAATTAATTAATTATAATTTATAAATATGTGAAATTCATAAAAAAATTTTATATTCAATCTACATTTATAAATTGTGAACTCTTGTATAATTGTGATTGAATAATTTTAAAATTAGAGTAAAAAGAATTGTGCATGAAATTCACTCAAATGATGATCAACAATCCCTTATTTTCTGAATCTTTCTTCTTTCTGAAGGCCGAGAGTGCTAGAGGAGACGTTGCGAAATCGACAGAGTGCTACATGATTGAAGGAGGAATGTCCAAGGAAGAAGCAAGACAGCACATTAAGGGTTTGATAGCTCATTCATGGGAAAAATTGAATGAGGAAAGCTACAAAAATTCTCTACCAAGATCCATGACAAAGATGTGCTTAAACATGGCGCGTACTGCTCAGTGCATTTTCCGGCATGGAGATGGTATTGGGACGTCAAGCGGAGCGACAAAGGATCTTTTAATCTCACTCATTGTCGAACCTATCACAAGTGATTAGTTCATTTTTATATCATTTTTTTTTTAGACGTAACGGTAAAATTAATCATTTGAATTCTGTAAACAGAACCATTCGAGCCTTTACTCTTTTTATTTAAGTCAATCAAATCCTTTAATTTTTTTTAAAATTTATATTTGATGTATTATAAGTATATAAATATTATACGTCGATAATGAATCATATAATAAAATCTTATAAAAAATTATTACAAAATATATTTTAAAAATTAAATACATATTTAAAATTAAATATATATTTTTAAGATTTTTAAAATTTTAAAACTAATTTTATGAGATGTCATTATTATAGGTACTAATGCATCAAATATAATTTTTTTTTTAGTCATTTTGATTGAATAATACAATTGCATGATGACATAGTACTAACGATTCCGTTAACCGTCAAAGATCAGACCCAACAAACCATGTGAACGTGCGTCTTATGCGTAACATGCCAAAATTTTTAATGTAATTTCTGGATCTGATAATTACAAACATACCACATTATTTCTCTTGGCTGCCATTTCCTCTCTTTGATAAAGTGACAATGATAGCTCTTGTGAGTGGTATCCATCAGAAGCATAAAATGAATCTGGGCGCTCAAAGTGGCTCCATTGTTTCTGCATAGCACGCTTGGTAGCTTCATATGAATCATGGCCTATGGCAGCAAATATATCTAGCGAGAGATATAAGTTATGAAACCCAACATATAAGCATGAGAGGTTGAGATGGAAGTCAGGAAGAACAAAGAAGATAAGCGATGGAACTGAAATAAAAAAAAAAAAAAAGGGAAAAAAGAAAAAGGGGGAAAGAGAAAGAAAGGGAGGTAAAGAGATTTTGAAGACATAGGATGAGAAAGAGGTAACAAATCTTGGAGTTAAGTGAACGGCAAAGTGAAAAGTATATGTTTTTTTTTTTTCAAAAGAACACGTAATAACTGAACAAATCCGTTTGTCAAGTTTCCAAAGTCGCTGACAATGAATAGAATTTGAGTTTTTGGACTCTATTGACAGTGAATAGAACTGCGAGTGATGTCCAAAAACTTCACAAACGGATTTAATTATGTTACACGTGTCCTGAGAAAAGTGTTTTTCACTTTGCCGTTCACTGACTCACGTTAAGAATGCTACCCCTATCACATTCACACGGTATCTCCAAAATTATATTTATTTTTTATAAAAAAATAAAATTATATCACGTTTAGTATAAATGGGTTTCACATAAAAAAATAAAAACTTTAAAAATATGTATTTATTTTTTATAATTAAAAAAATTAAATACGTATAAAAAATCCCCAAAAAAGTTAAAAAAGAAAAAAACCTGCATGCTATTGTGAGTTAAATTTCTTTTTTGTTTTGCCATTTCCATTTACTAATTATTTTTTGCAAAATTTGCCTAATAAAAAGAAAAAAAAGGTTAAAAAAAAAAAAACAAACGGGGATGATACATGAACACTTAAATTGATCTTTTATTCTTACAAAATATATCTTATAAAAAATAGAAAAGTAAAAAGGACAAAAACAACCAAAATATAAAATATAAAATATAAAAAAAAGTTCATAGAAAATGACATTGGGTATCTCCATCCAATTTAAAATATTAATTTTTTAAATTATGGTATCAAATAAAAATTTTATTAATATAATACATATATAAATGAAAATTAAATTAATAATAAAATAGGTAAATGAGTCTCAAAAACCTTTGAATAAAAATTCAATAATTATCTAAGCCTCGTTCATTTGTTTGCAATTAATTAAATCCTTTAAACATTTCATTTCATCAATTGAGTCAAAAGAAAAATGTTTAACTATTTCCATCTAATTGAGAGCTTAATTAGGTAAAAATAGATGTTTAAAAGTTTAATTGATTCGAAATATAAAATTTATTACTTAATTAATTGTAATAAAACGTCAATGGCTTAAATGATTATTAAATTTTTGTTAGAAGAATTTTTTGACCTTTTTGTCAATAAAATATATATTTTTATATATCTCTCGAAGTGAGCTAGGATAAATTCTCGTAAACAAGCTTTTACCTCAATCTTGTATTTTATTAAAAAAATTTATCTATCCTAACTCGATCCAAATTAAAAAAAAAAAATTCATCTTATAATGAATTGATGTGAATTGAAACCCGTTAGATATAAATGTTTTGACATCTTTATCAATGTCATATTTTATTGAAAATTTTATTTAATTAAAAACAAAAAAAAAAAAAGGGAAATAGGATATCACATGGACATCTCCATTGGTGTCTTTTTTTTTTTCAAAAACTTAATTTAATAAAAAAATTAAAAAAGAAAAAAAAAGAAAAGAGAAAAAAAGAAAATGTAGCTGTGAGATATAACATGGACATCCCAATTAAGCTTAAAGTGTTAATTTTTTAAATTAAGATATCAAATAATAACTTTATTAATAAAAAAATAAAACAAAAAATAATTAAAATAAATAAATAAGATAAAAGAGATCGTTGAGGTGACATGTATGTCTAAATTGAATGTAAAAACATTAATATCTTAAATTAGGGTAAAAAGTAATAATTTCATTAATATAATATGTATATGAATATAAAATTAAATAGATAACAAAATATATATTTTTACGTCTACCATGGGAAGACTTGTGACAGAGCATCTTAAATTTGCTTTAAACCTATCTCCATATTTTAAAAAAATTGATACGATTTGATTTAATATCTTTTTTTTTTTTATAGAACTCCCAAATCAAATAGAAATTGGTAGAAACCTATTGAATATTAATAGTTTTGGCTATCCTTATTAATTGACTCATTTTTATTGTAAAATAATTTAATTAAAAGATACAAAAAAAAAGAAAAAGAAAAGAAACAAACAAATAGGGTGCTATTAAAGCCATATTCATTAACATTGTTTTCTTATAAAATTTATCTAATAAAAAACAATAAATGAAAAAGAAAAGGAAAAAAATTTCCTCTTATTAGATCAAGTTAGATTGAAACTCACCGGATACAAATTATTTTACCATCTTTATCCATTAGTTCCTTTTGTTATAAAATTATGTAATTAAAAAAAATGAAAAGTAAAAAACCAAATTGGGTGCCATGTGGACACTTTCATTGAATTTTTTTAACAAATTTATCTAAATTAAAGATAAAAAAAATTGACAAAAAAGAAAAAGAGAAAAAAGGAAAAAATTAAAAATTAAAAAAGGAAAGAAACATAAGATTCCATGTCAACCTCTTGAATGAGTGTCAATAAAAATAAAAAATGAGTACGATTTATATAATAGATAGAAAGATGGATTATAACTCAATTATTTATAAATATAATATTTTTATAAAATTAAAATATTAAATAATAACTTTATAAATATAATACTTATTTATAAATATAAAATGAACTAAATAATATATATATATATACACACACACATACTTGAGGTAAGATAAAAAATTTTAAACCCATCACTAACATGACTTTAATTTAAAAAATAAATCAATTTCATCTTAATTTTTTAAAAAATTTATACAAATAAGTTGAATTAAAACTCATAAGATATAAGTTATCTTGTCATCCTACATCTATTAACTTTGTTTTATAAAATTTATATAATAAAACAAAGTCAAAAACTTCAAAAAAAAAAAAAAACCACAAAGAAAATGGTGAAGAAAAAAAGATAAAAAAAGCAAGTCAAATGGAAATGACATGTGGACTTATTAAATTCAGATGTGACATCAATACATCTTCTAATATTATTTCTTTAAAAAATAATCAAATTAAAAAAATAAAAAAATCAATAATATCAAATGGGTTTTAAAAAATAAACTTAAATATTTATTAAATATAAATAAAAAAAAAGTAAATTGAAAAAATAGAAAAAAAAATCAAATGACTTGACATGTCAAATACACTTGACATCAAATAGGTCTAATAAAATAATTAAAAATTATTTATTATTTATTAAATAAATAAAAATATATATATAAAAAAAACAAATATGTACCATACCCTTGGTATTAAGTGGATCAAACACAAAAAAAAATCTAAAAAAAAAATTTATCAAACACTTTATTTAAAAATAAAAAAGAAAGAAAAGCAAAAGAAAATAAGGTTTTGGATTAAATGGATTAAATAAAACACTCACAAAAATAAGTTCATTATTTATCATCTCTCGTTCCGTTTCAGTTTCAATTTAAGTCAGAAAAAGTTTTTCAAAATCCCATTTTTCAATAATCAATTGCTTTTCCTTTCAAAATTTTCATCCAAAAAAAAAAATCAATTTTAACTTTAAATACATGTGACTAAGCTTATCTAATTGCTTAATTTCTCCATTGACCATTGACCATTCTATACTCTTTATATTGTGTTTCTTTTTTTGGTCAAACCTCCATGCCCCGTTTCATCTTTTTGTGCCCTTTCTTGAGACTCTATTTCTTTTCTCCCATGGCAGTTTTGATTTTTTAGTTTCCTCCCTACAACAAACCCAACCACAGCCTAATCTAATCGACCACCCACCCAAGTCCTTGTCTCTTTGTCTACTCTTCGGCGCCCATACCCTAAGAGAGTGTTTGGTTCGAGGAAAAATTATATTACTGGTTGAAATCACTACAAAAATATGTAATTTTAAAGGTATTTGTTTCTTGGGGGTTTGGGGAGCAGCCGGTGCTTTCCTATAATACTTTGTATTTCTTTTGAGAAAAATGAAACTGCCGCTAAACACAAATGATTTAGCACTAATAGCCTCTAATAAGAAATAGAAACACTATCCTTTCCCGATGATCTTTCTTCAAACAAAAATTTTTCAGTCTCGCATCTTTTGCGTGATTTTCTTTTTTTCATCTCTCTCTTTTTGTTCTTCTCCCGTATTTATTGATTGAAAAATTAGAAAATCATACCCTAACTTTTGAAAATCAAAGTCAAAATCATCTCAAATCAATTTTTCTCCCATAAGATTTGAAGCTATTTTCCCCATTTTTTGAAAATCAAACCCTAATTTTTGAAAATTACCATTTTCACCATCTTCTTCGTCATCTCTACCACAATTGATTCATCTTGTTATTGCTAAAATCATTTCTTCAGTGAGATAATTTCACCAAAATAAGTGATGCAAAGCGACTAACAGCATAAATGATGCTTCATTTATAATTTTGGTTTTTATGCAAGTCGAGTGCGTTAATCACTAAGAATGGTTGTTTATAATGTTTAGTCTACTGCTGTTTATGCAATTATCAAGATTATTTGCCTCTGGACTGGAAGTAAACTGAAAGATTTTCGTTGCAGATCACATAGCGTATTCAAATTTGTATGGTCATGAATTGTTTTATTTGAACGACAATCTAGATTAAAAGTCGGCAATTTCTTTCATTCTTGGGTTTCTCGTATCCAACTGCTTCTTCAATTTAAGGTGTCTATTTTCTTTTCCATTTTCTTTTTCTTTTTGTAATTTCTATGGTTTAATTCTATGAGCCATTTTCAATTATGTTATGAGATTTTTTTTTTTGTTTGAGAAATAGATGGTATTTTTTTTATTCCTTTCTCTGCTATTAATAGATTAAAAAAATTAGAAAATCATACCCTAATTTTTCCTGTTCCACTCCCCCAATTGTCATTTTCTTTGTCATCTCCGTCACCGCCATATTGGAAATTGATTCTGATATCCAGTTTGTTAAAACCCAAATTGTGTGTGAATTGAAACTTTAATGGTATTCCTAGCATTGTACCTTGAATCAGTCAGTATATGCCTTGTTAGGCTGAGGAAAGACGTTAAAAAGCGTGTGCTATTTGCGATGTTTTATAGTTTTCATTAATAGTCATTGCTAATTTAGTAATAATTAGGTTGCAGCAATTGTTACCCAACCACCTTCTAGAAGAGATAGGGGCAGAAATGTGATTCGTTCACTAGTGGCACAACATGCTCTTGATAAAGGCTTTCCTTTTGAGCTCATCTTCACACCTGAACATGCTGGAGAGGTAATTTTTCTTTCAGCATTCCAATTTAGTATAGTTTGGAAGAGTTAAGTCATTCATCTATTTTTATGGAAAATCTAAAACTGCCTAACAACGTGTTTGTTTCAATTGGTCTAAAACTAATCTTCAAAATCAAGTCTAATTTTACTGCTAACTTGTTCAAATAATCTTGAAATTTTGGTCCAATTAGAAATTGAGAAATTTTGTTTTTAAATGATCTTTGTATGGAAGAAAGAAAAGAGATAGGGGGTGGGGGAGTGAGAATTAGAAGTCTATATGGTATGGTGCCTAATATGTTATGTGTATGTGATCTAATTACTTTTCAATCTCAATATTCAGAAAGTTTTTGAATTGCTGAATGGAGTGTTATGTGTGTGTCTGTGTGTTAATTCAAGTATGTATAAAAGTCTTGACTCCATAATGATATTTTCATATTTTCTATTTTATGTGAACATATATGTAATCATTTGGTTATTTTTTCTTTTTTAACTTATGGTTGGGGATGATGAAAGCCAGTTTTAATCAGTTATTCCTTGGTTGGTATGCGTCAGTCTGGTGGAAGGAGATTTTAGTTAGTTATTCCTTGATTGGTATGCATCAGTCTGGTGGAAGAAGAAATCCCACTAATTTTCTTTCTTTCTTTTTTTTTTTTAATAAGTAGACTCAGAAGAATTTTCCTTTCTGTAATATGTTACTCCATTAACTTTTCTAACCTAATTCTAAGGGATTTTGGCATGAAAGGAATTCATACTTCTTTTTACTTTATGCAGGAGACCTTCTTGTCTAGTTTAAGAGCTTAGTAGCCTGAACTTTGCATTATAACAGCACATGGAAATATTTAAAAAAAAAGTTTCTCAATATTCCATCATTAGGTTAGTCAATGGTATTTTGTTAACAAATTTGGAGTTTTATTTATCTTCTGCTTATTTGTCATGTCTACTCTTTGTGCCTATCTAGTGTTTGTTCTCAAGTCAACAAACGCTGTTAAATTTCTTTTGAATGAATAATAGAAATGTGATCTTTACTGATTCAACTTTCCATCAAGTGTTGGACTGCTGGTTTGTGTTTAAATGATGATTTCTTGTTTTCATGACTTGAGCTTATTAAGCATCTACCACGTGGCAGAGTGCTTGGTCATTGTACTTGCTATCTTAGCTATATCAACTCTATGTGTGGTTAGATCGTTAAACGACTAAGGATTAATACTCCTAAGGTATTTTAAATCTATTTATTTTTTATTTTTTGATCCTTAATGCATTTCAAATCTTAAAGCAACATAACTATAGGTAAAAACTACAATGTTTTAAGAATTTTTGTGTAGTGTATTTATTATAGGATTTCTCATGTTATAATGAATTACTTACATAAAAATCAAATTAGGGCTTCGAATTGTGCATAATTACCCATTAGGAGAAATAGGATGGATAAGCTATAAAAATCATTTACCATACTTTGTCTCTTCGTGTAGGCACATGGTAGTGTTAGGAATGAGTTTATGAGGCCTAAATAATAAAACTAAAATACCTACTTCGCTGCGGTTCAACTCTATACTTAGTCTAAAACATCATTTCCTCCTTGGTTTATGTGGATTTATGATTTGCAATCATACAAGTTAATCTAAAATATGATTTAGTTCAGTTACCTTCCTTTACCTTATTTTTATATTTAATTTGTTCTTTGGATGATTTATTTCATCTTAATTTGATGTAATTATTAGAAATTACTAGAAATTTTGTGCAATAAAATTTGTTATCCAAAGTTCCAAACTTGTCATATGAGACTATGAAATGTATAAACTTGCTTTTATTTGGGTTAATCCATTTGCCTTGATTACATGTATGTAATTCCATATTTGATTGTATATACTTGCATGTTCACATGTTAATGCTCGTCCCACTAGTAAGCCCCAGGAATTGGATGATGTTGTTCTCAAAAGATTGGTTAGTATTATGTTGCATGAACTTGCTGCAACTTGATTTCTTTAAAAGATGTCATTTCAATTAGATTTTGTCATAAATTTTAAATATTTAAAAGATGCCAAACCTAAAAGTCAAATGTTTCTTCTAAAATCTTTTTCTAATGAAAGTAATATTATTGTTATAAATTTTATCAAAGGTGCCATCATAACTATTATAGGAAGAAAAGCAAAAGGGTAAAGATTTTGAGCTTTTTGTTTCTGTTATTCATCTGTAAAGGCTCAAACTGAAAAATGGTATTGAAAGAAAAAATTTGATGGCATATATTAATACGAGGGTTTTGGCTCAAATGGTGGATTCAAGCAGCTGCTGCAATGTTTAACTTGGGGTTGTTTGAAGGTGAGATAAGTGGAGATGCTTTCCAACTTCTTGAAATGAGTGAGATGGGAATGTTCCTAGCCATCTTTGCTTCAAGGTAAGTTGATTTTGTGATTATGCTTCCTTAATTGTTCAGATTTTAGAGTACTTATAGTTAGAGAATGGTGCTTGGCTCTTTATCAACAAATTAACTCAATGCATAGGCCTGATTCATTAATTGCATGGTTTTTTACTCTTTCTCACTGTAACTCTCCATTTGGTTTACATTGCAAGGATCTAAAGAGGATAGAAAGAGATGGAAGAATGACTGTTGAGAACAATTTGAATGGAAAAAGGCTACTAGAACAAAATGATTTGCTTTTTGAAGATGACTGGAAGAGGAAGATTATCAGCCAAGTGTAATGCTAAATATTGAGTATTCTTCTTTTAAATCTGTAGTTGTCTATATTTACAAGTTAGCATTTATCTTATTAAGGGTGTTCTTTGTTTTGCCTATCTTGCTTTGTAATTTGATAGAGCCAATAAGCATTTTACTTTTTGATAGCTGCCTTGCACTGTTTTGGATCTTTATGTAATTTGCATATATGATTTGTTATGTATGATTTTCATATTATTAATAAACTTTAAGTTTAATTATGGAAGGAAAAGAGAAGATTGTAGTTTATGGTATAAAAAAACTTACCTTTTTTCTATAATTGAAAAAAAAAAAAAAAACAGATACTAAAGCTTTTAATTGTGGTTAAAACAGCCTGTAAAAGTTTGTTTATTTTATTTTTAAAGCTAAAATACCACAACTTTCAAAGGCAATGTAAAGTGCCTTTAAAAGATTCATCATTTATAAGGGCATTTTAAAGTGCCAGTAAAACTTGTGTCAATATACCAAATAACTTCGTCGTCATTGGTGTTTCGACCGGCGGATATTTTTTGCCGGCATCTACCTAGCCAATGGTTGGTTGGTGGTTAAGTAATTGTTGGTGATACCTTTCCTAGCATTTTATAATGCTTTTACCAATGCTTTAAACTGCCAATAAAGATGTATTTTCTTGTTATGAATCTTACTTTTCATAATATGATTTTTTTAGTTTGGTTTATGGTATCTGATTCTTAGGGGTATTTTAAGATTTCAAATAGTGTTCAAATATCTTAGAATCAAAAACCTATTTCTATTTGAGGTTTTTTAAAATTCTTGGAAGAAAGTAAATTTTATCTCACTTTTGATTTCGATAATAATATTTTTTTATCTATTTTATCCTTGAAAATTAACGTAATTACAAGATAAATCGAGATTTATTATGATAGGAAAAGCTGCATTCCTAACCAAACGATTGGACACCTGGCAACAATTAGACATGTAATAGATTAAATATAATAAAAACAATGTTTTATAAAAAAAATAGAGTAGATTACTACAAATTTAAGACTTTGAATTTTTTTTTTATTTCAGAAACTCTACGCTTTTTACATTAAAATGTAATTGATCAATTAAAATAATAACAAAATAAATTCGATATTTTCAATATCAACATTTCTTAGTATGGAAACATAGTAATAGATATAATATTTATAATAAAATATTTATGACATTTTTAACTACATTTTTTATATAAAAAACGTAGTATTCGATAAATATAAAATTTTCTCTATATCAATAACTACATTTCTTATTATGGAAATGTAATCATTGATAATTTGTAGTTTTTTTTTTTTAAACATTTTTTTTTTACATATGAACTAGTTAACCAGTTAAAAAATAACAAAATAAATTTGCTATTTTCAATATAAATGACATTTCTTAGTATATGGAAACGTAGTAATATATATAATATTTATGATAGAATATTTATAGTATTTTTAATTATGTTTTTTATGTAAAAAATGTAGTATTTGATAAAAATAAACTTCTCTATATCAATAATTATGTTTTTTATTATAGAAATGTAGTCATTGATAAACATAATAATTGATCACCTGAAAATGTAGTAACTAACAATAATCACATTTTTTAGTTTCAAAATGTTGTTAATAATAAAAACAATAAAAAAATAATTGACATATGAACACAATATAAACTGATGCTGGGAGGAGAGACTCATTTACAGATTTGGGAGGAAAAAGTTTATAAAGAATATCAAATACTACGTTTATTATAACATAAATGTTGTGCATGTTAAATCAAATTTTTTTAATGAATTATCAAACATTGTGTATATAATGGTAGAAACGTCATATTTGTTCAAAAACTATATTTATAGTTTCAAAATGTTGTGCTTGTATATTTGTCAAATATTGCATTTATAATTCTACAAACGTCATATGTTATTAAAAGACTAAGTTTAATCACCCCCAAAACATGGTGCTTGTGTACTTATTTATAAACAAAAATGTAGTGTTTGGTTCTTTATCAAACACCACATTTATAATGATAGAAACATTATGTTTGTTATTTATTAGGGTGTTTATATAACAAAAAATATTGTACTTGTTTATAATGAATGTTTTTATTTGTCAAAGATTGTGCTTATAATGAAAAAAATCATCTTTGTACTTTATTATATTTTTTTTGTTCATAATATGCCACTTTATTTTTAACATAATGAAAAATGTAAAATTTTTTTATTGTTGTTGTTTAATGGTTGTCACATGTTTAATTTTAATAACATAATTAGCAGTAAGAATGTTTGTTACATGTTATTTACATGTAATGAAAGATATTATACTAAAAAAGCCTTCATTACGTAATCTAAGATTATATGAACTAAACACAAGAATCTAATATTCCCATGATAGGAAAAATCATCCCTTCTCAGGAATCGACACTTCTCCAAGGATCACTTTACTTCTTGAAATCTAAGATTTTAGAAATCAAACATATCCTAAAATTTTCCCAAGTTCCCACCCATTCTCATTTATTTCTTCTATTCCACTTCAATTAATTTTTTACTTTTAACAATTGGCTTATCTCTTTCAAGATTGAAGATCAAGAAAGCCACACCTACAGTAATTGATAAGGTAAACTAAAGCTATCAAAGGGCATTATTTTCACTCCACCTACTATTGAATATTTCAAAAATCTAAGGAAAAAGGTATTTTTAGTTGAATATATTTTTATTACCTTGAATTCATTTCTTTTTCACCTTGATTAAAGTTGTTGGAGTTTGATTGTGGTGGTTTGATGTTTATATTTGCTTTGATATACTTAGAAATTTGATATGATGAAAAGGGAAAAATTACACAGAAGTCATGATAGCACTGAATAATGGCGATAGAATTTTTAGGTAAATTTGTCAAAGAGATGGACATGGAAAGGGAAAAAAGAAAGGAAAAGGATAAGAAAACAAGGTGCTTTATGGTGGAGTAGGTAAATATACAAAGAGATTGATGTAAGGAGAAGAAGAAAAAAAATAAAGAAAACAAAAAATAGAAAAAAAAAAGAGTTTAAGGAGGAAGTTTCAAGTGGATAGCTTAGGAGGTGATAATGGAATGTTGAAATGACTAAAATTTATTTTGTGGATATAAAAAAAATTAATACTCACACAGAATACAAATTTCTTGTATCCTCAATCTCCATCATTATATACGTTAACCAATATTATTCTTTTTTACATACTTCAGAAGTGTATAACCTACGAAGAAAACTATTATTATCACTGTATAATATTTTTGAACGGTTAGAAATAAGAATCATTATCTATAAAAAAATAAAAATTATTATTAACATATAAACACACAATATTAAATACATTAAAAAACATTCAACAAAAAAAAAAAGTAAAAAGTAAAAAAGAAAAACGCATAACTATTAGGTATAATAAAATAGGCTTTGTAACACTTCTGATAATAATCACAATTAAATCGTTGACAACAATAAACTAGTTAAAACTATTAAGACTGCAATTTTATATCAAACTCTTATTAACATTAATAAATGAATTGGATTAGAACTTAGCTAGTTAAAACTAAAATGAGCATAATTGTTAATCAATTATAATAATAAAACTAATTTTTTGTAAATATTAAATTAAAAATAATTTAAAATGATAAATTATATTTTAAAAATATGATGGACAAATGTCTATTTTTGTCAATTTAAATTGTTTTTACATCTATGTTTTTATAAAATAATCAATATATATTGTCATAATGTGTATGTCTTAAAACTTGCCTATTAGATACAACACATGAAGTCGCCACTAATTTTTTATTAACTAGGTATGATTGATCACCTAAGTAAATTTATCTCTTCTAAAGTTATTTTAAGCTTAAACTAAGGGTCCCTAAAAAAGATAGGTTCTAGTCTTCTAAACAGAACTAAGTTCAAGAATTTGGTTATATGTAGGGAAGATTATAACACCTTCTAATGCCCATAAATTGGTACCAATTAATCTTAAATTATCTTCTTAGCCTTAATTCAAATGGTCTTAACTTATTCTTAATTATTTTGTTATTTTATTGTTTTTGTAATTTAAATAAATTAATATGAGATATATTTTTAGGTTTTCTCTAACACTTTTGTCGATTCCTTAAAAATATTCTTCACTTTAAGAGTATTCAAGTAATACACTTATTTCTATGAAGAGGCTTCATCGTCAGATTTATTAAATATTTTATGAAAAAAATAGATAATAAAATACACAATTCAATAAAATTCAATAATCATGTAATCTGAATTTAATCAATCATACGAATAAAATCATCATAATTTGTTCCTAATTTTAATTTTTTAAATTAGAAATAAATAAAATTTTTTATTTTAAGATCAATTTTTAAATCTTCCAACTTCTTGATCGAATTTAGAAAAAGTCTTCTCACTAAAATTTTTTAAAAAACTACACAACCGTAACTTTCTTAGAATTTCATTATTGGATGAAAATTTATTCATCCCTAATTATTTTCTTTTATTTTGCAAATTAATTAAACATTACAATAATTCAAGAAAAATAAATAAATAAATAATAATAAAAAATAAAAAATTCAAACAAAAAATACAAAAAAATAGGAAAAGGATTTTGTGTGAAATAGGTTGGGTCTTACATGGGCAGGCTCGCAAGTTGCAGTTGGACCAAGCGAGGGTCTACGAAAACTTTTAAGCCAAAACGGTGCCATTTCAGTGAGAATATAAATGCCAAAATTTTTTGTTTCACTTTTTTGTTTAGCTTTCTCTTTATACCCATTCATTCTCAGACTTTTCTTTAGGATTTCTTTGAATGCTAGCTGAAAAGTTCAGCCACACTCAGATCACGGCAACATATTCTAAAAAGTGGTGATGGAATCTTCAAACAAAGCAAGAAAATTGATCAAAAAATTCAACCCAATCTAAAAAATTCTAGATTTTCCTAGAAAAACCCAAAAAAATTCAAAAATTTAAAAAAAATCCTAAACTCTGAATGTGATTCCTTTTTTGTTTCCTTGGACCTAAACCCCTTAAACCACAATTGATCCTAAGATCAAACCAAAGAGCTTCCCAAAAATTAACATTGCTAGAAACCTAAAATTTTGTTATTGATTGATCAACCAATCTTTTTTATTCTATTTTTCTTCTTTTCTAATTTTTTTATTAGTTCTAGTTGTTTCTAATTAATTCTCACGAATTGCAATAGGGTTTTTTAATAGGCCTTTAATCCAAATCACAATAGGAA